TTAGACCTGGTTTACCTCTGGTTTTAGTGCTGGTTTAGCCTAAAATGTGAAAACAGGAAAATCCCGCCGTGTAATCCATTTATTATTATTTTATATTATTTATTTATTACAAAGTAACTGTAATCCAATTACCACTCATTGAAACAGTATCTGTAACTGAATACAGTTACTCATAATTTGTACTCTGATTACGTAACTCCGGTACATGTAATCTGTTACTCCCCAACACTGAATGTGTCTGACTCACATCAAGGACTTGTTCACAAAAATGCAGTTGAATAAACCATTGTTGAACCAAATACAACCAAAGCATTAAATAAAATGGATTATTAAGTTTCTGTAACAAAGTTGCCCTTAAAAGTCATTTTATTCGTTGTCTTACATTAGTTTATAGTGGCTTCTGTCTCTGTGGCTGCTGCTGTGGCCTCGTTGTTTTTGGTCATTTAAATGTTCGTATTAACCCGAGACACAGGATCCTGTTTCGCTATGAGGGAGCCACTGTCCTGTCTGGTGTCGTGTCGGTGTCTTGTGGGATTTCAGTGGATTTTGGGGTCTTCCCGGAGGCGGGGCTAGTTGTGTCGCTCAGGTTTGGGTTTATATGTCGGCTGTTGGGGTTCGAGACATTTCTTCTCGTCGTTTGCGCGCTCGCTGCATTTGACGCACGTGGCCGTTGAGACGTGTCGCGCTCACCAGTGTTTATTCGGCATCGTCACTTGTTTTGTCACACGGCGATGAACTGTTTTGGTTCTGACAGCGGCTCTAGCTTCTGTTGCGACTTCATGTTCACCGCACAGACAGCGGCGCTTTCTGCACTCAGACTACACGTGCATCCGCTGTGTCGATAAACACGAGAGGAGTCAGAGAGCGACAGAAGCTTTCTAACATTCAATCTCTTTGAGAGCGAGGAAAACAAACAAACATGCAAATAGAATTTATCGCGGCCGGAAAAGTTATCGAGCTCGTTAAAAGTTATCGTACGATTAATTGATTTATTGATTATTGTTACAGGCCTACTTCAAAGTCATTTTTCTCAGTTTCACACTCGAGTTAAGGTCTTTTGCCTTTGTAGGACAGACTAGAGGGCAGTCGTTTTATTTTTTACTTTAGCAGGGACCATTTTTACAGCAGCAGTAGAAGACTGTCAAATTGAACAGTTTTTACTTAGGGCAGATATTTTTGTTTAACATTTCCGTGCAGATTGAGGCTATGACAACTCCAGGTACAGTATGTTTGTGATGAGGAAACAACATTTGAACACACTGTAGATCAGAAAATAGCATAAAATGAGTCTTTTAATATTTATATACCGTATTTTCCAGGCTATTAGGCGCTCTGGATTATAAGACGCACTGTCATTAAATGGTCTATTTTTGAACTTTTTTCACAAATAAACCACACTGGACTTTAAAGGAAACACAACAGTGTGATGGGTGAGTGGTTTTGTTGTTTTGTGGTGTTCACGGTGACTCTGGGCTTTGTTCAGTTGTGGCGTGTAGGGAGGGTGCTGTCTGGGACCAACGGATTGTCGGCGTGTTCGCAGTGACTCAGTTGTTCAGTCGTGTCTAGAAGCGGCACATTGCGCTCGCTTTTTCAGGTTCGTTCCTCCGTTCCGTTCCTCGTCGGCGTGGAGTGATGAGTGTGTCTGTGGGTGTTTTTCGCCGCGCGGTCGCTGTCTGCTCCGTGTGTGTTCTGCGCGGCTTTGTAGTTTACTGAAGTCGTACTGGGACACCCGAGTGGATTCGTGTATGGGGCGCTCTGGATTGCGGGACACGCGGCCGTTTTTTGATGCGGTTAGAGGCTTTAGAGTAGGGGTGTGCAAAAATATTGAAATATCGATATATCGTATCGTTTAATGTGATGATACAGTATCGATATCGTGAGGCTGCTGTATCGATATATCACCAAGAGTATTTTTTGGTTTATTTTACTAAATTATTTTGTTACTGCTACAGTTTTGTTGCTTGTTCAGAGGAAGGAAACTCGTTTATTCGACACATTTGACATTTTCACAGTTTTTGAAAATTAAAATGTTTGAGTTTTATATTAACTTTGTAGAAAAAGTGGTTTGACAAAGACTTTTAGTATCACAGCCGTGATTTAGCCTTTATTTTTTACTAAACTGTATCGAATCGAACTGAAATATAGCTTATTGAATCGTCTCGAATCGCAAACTCACTGTATCGAGATATGTATCGTATCGTGGCCTATATATCGAGGTATGTATCGCATCGGCAGCTTCTTAATGATACCCAGCCCTACTTACGAGCGCGTCTAATGGCGGTAGTTTGGAATAACCAAACAATAGCTGCTGAAAATAAGCAAAAACTCCAGACTCCAAACTCCAGACATTCTACAGGCTGCTTTTACAAAACAAACAATAAGAAAAGATGTAGCAGTGTAAGAAGTGAAGTGTTGCTTGACCCAATGACACACTCAAACGCATTAGTGACTCATTATGACACGCTCTGTTACGTTCTCTTTATTTATTTATATTTATAGCACTGTTGCCATGTTTTGCGCACATGCAGTACATTACAAACCGGTGCTATGTGTAAAAATGTTCTTACCCATTGGACCAAATAAACACACATGTAATCACATCATTGGCAAGACATTATTACATTCATCTTACATTCATCTTCATCTTTATTTTGGATTCATGGTCCATTTTTAAAACAGACAAGGAGAGTGACATTACAAAACAACAAACATTTACGTTTTTAAAGACAGACATGCCAGTTTTATTTGACCAGTGACCAATAATCTCCTTCATTTCAAATATAAACTAATCTGATTGGACGTAGAGCTGGGTTTCATTAAGAAGTTGCCGATACGATACATATCTCGATACAGTGCGCTTTCTGTTCGATATGATATATTTCAATTCGATTCGATACAGTTCAATACAAACTAAAGGCTAAAACATGGCTGTGATACTAAAAGTCTTTGTTTAAACCACTTCTTGTGCAAAGCTTATATGAAACACAAATATTTTTAATTACGAAAACAGTGAAAATTGAGCTTTCTTTTAATCAATTCAAATATAAATAAAATTTCAAATGTCAAATGTGTTTCCTTCCACTAAACAAACAACAAAACTGTAGCACTGTAACAAAATAATTTAGTAAAACATACCAAAAAATACTCTGAGGTGATATATCGATACAACAGCCCATGATATCGATACTGTATCATCACATTAAACGATATTATTTCGATATTTTTGCACAGCTCTAATTGGACAGCTGTCTTTGAATCTGGCTCTGGGCGCGACGGCGAGAGTGGGGACCAGACTTGGGGTGTAAGAAAAAATCGATTCAGTGATACATCGTGATACTTCATTGCACAATTCACGAATCGATTCAAAATGCATCCGAATCGATTTTTAAAATAATATTTTTCACAAAAATTCATGATTTACATTCACTGATGATTTAAACATTTTTATAAATGATATTTCATATAAGTGTGTCCTTGTGAAGGTGCAGTTGACTGTATTAATAGAAGTAATTATTGATAAATCGGAATATATCACCATATGTTTCAGTATTGGGATATATCGTGATATATCGAATGGTGACATGCAAATTAGACTCAAGGCAATGCACACCCCTAGACCAGACTGGACTGATTCTGATTCCTATGTATCAAAATACAAAGATTTAATTCTGGGGTTGGCAAACACCGATTTCCAAAGAGTTGTATTTTACTTGGTCTCCACTATGAAGTACTATGTTTTTCGGATTATAAATTGCCCCAGTCAAAAATGTGTAATTCAATTCAATGCAATTCAATTCAAATTTATTTAATAGCCATTTAAAACAACTTTGTTCAATGAAGAAGGAAAAAAAACATATATAATTCGCACTTTTTTGGGGAAAGGTATTTTATAAAATCAGAGATCAGGAACTGACATTTCATCGTGAAAGTCAAGTTCTAGTAATAACAATAAAAGAGAACAAACAGACTGTTAACGTCACATATGAACAGTTCTTCAGATTAAACTATAACATAAACAACAGAACAGAACAAGTTTAACAAACTCTCCATCTCACTCCAAATCACTAAATCCATTCAGTTCTTCATCCACGGTGTCACTTCTGAGTAACTCCGCCTCGACCTCCGGAGGTAAACAGAGCGCCGCTTCCTCTTCTGTGTCGCTGTCGTCAGACTCAGCATCAGTTCCAGTTAGAATTATTCCGGTCCTTTCTGAATCCCGACAGGATGGTTTCGGTGTCACTGAAGTCCAGGCTTTGTCGATTCATCCAGTGACTTCAGGAAGGTTTCATGTTGCACCTTCCTGGTTACTGTGAAGCTGTGTTCTCCATCCCCGCTTTTCCCCAGTCCCTCACAAGTTTCTCGCTCACTCCAAACTTTCTTTCTGCTGCTCGATTATCGTTTTTTCGGCTCATATTTCACAACTTGCAGCAGGACAGCGGCTTTTTCTACAGGAGACATGCGCAGTAGAGCCAAGTGACAGTGGTACAGGAGCTGCATATTTCGCTACTTGCAGCTTCTAATCAGCAAAATGTGATTTTCTTTTTTGGGGCATTTGTGTTCAGTTTTCTCAGTCATCTTGTAAGTTTGTTTAAATTGGTACAGAAGTAACGGTGCGATCGACTGACATGATACAGACAGAACAGAGGCTCTTTCTGCAGGAGACATGCACAGTAGAGTGAAGTGACAGTGGTACAGGAGGAACAGGAGCAGCAGATACTGACACACAAGACTAGATCACTCTCCCGAGGCTGTCACTGTGAAAATGTTAATATACTAGAGTATAAGTCGCAGGAAATACCCAAACTATGAAAAAAAGTGCAATTTATAGTCCAAAAAATACAATAATAATCTTCTTACGTTGTCATTTTTGAGCAACTGCGTCTCTTGTGGATCAGTAAAGTTTGTCTATGTGTAAATTTCAGAAGACAGTAGACGTGTTTTAATGTTTTCAGTGTTTTTCAGAGTTGTGTTGTGAGTGTGATCTGTTCCGTTTGTACCAGTAGGTAATGTGCCTGTGCTGTCTCTAGGCCTGCCCGACCCCTTCGCCAAAGTGGTGGTGGACGGTTCAGGACAATGCCACTCTACAGACACTGTGAGGAACACGCTAGACCCCAAGTGGAACCAACACTACGACCTGTGAGTATATCTGTCTCTGTCTCTCTCACTCTGCCAACGCTTTCAGGTGAATACTGTTTATCCCAGGAGTCTCCAACCTGTAGTTCGGGAACCACCAGTAGCTCTCCACCCTGTTATAAGCAGCTCGCCAAAGAGTTTCTGAATTACGCGTTACACTGAATAACTCAGATTTGATTAATTACCACTGTAAATGTGTTATTTTGAACTTTGCACACTAATAAACGGATGATGGATTCATGTTTTAAAGGCATTTAATTGTACAACATCTAAAGCTTGTCCTCTTATATCCACTTCAATTCCATCGCTAAAATGAGTAGCTCTTTGGCATTTCCGTTTTAAGGTTGGAGACTAATCCGTGTATCATTCGTTCATTTGTTTTTCAATATAAAACCAAAAATAAGAAAATGAAAAAACAACAGTTTTCTTCATTATTTGTCTCCAAAACCAAAATGAAAAAACAGGCAACGATTCGTTTTTTCAGTTTTCGATTTTGTGTTTAAATGAAGAATGGAAAAAACGGATAACGGCCGTTTCCCGTTTACGTGACTTCCGTGACTGCGATGCCGAACTTTTCCTCTGCATACGGACTGAGCCAGGACTGATCCAGGTCCAGGACCAGACCAGGAACCAGACCGGGACCAGAGCGGACTCTGAGCCTCCGCGGGGTCCGAGCTCAGCTTCGAGCTCCGGCCCTGTCGTGGGCTCTGAGCCTCCGGTCTGGTCCCGGTCTAGTCTCAGTCCCGGTCTCAGTCTCGGTCTGGCCCCGGTCTGGTCCCGGTCTGGTACTGGCCTGGTCTCAGTCTCAGTCCCAGTCTCAGTCTCTGTCTGGTCCTGGTCTGGTCCTGGCCTGGTCTCGGTCTCAGTCTCGGTCTGGTCCCGGTCTGGTCCCGGTCTCAGTCCCGCTCTGGTCCCGGTCTGGTCCCGGTCTGGTCCCAGTCTCAGTCCGGCTCTGGTCCCGGTCTGGTCCCGGACCTGGATCAGTCCTGGTTCAGTCCGTACGCGGTGCAAAAGTCCGACATCGCAGTCACGGAAGTCACGTAAACTGGAAACGGCCGTTATCCGTATTTTCCATTCTTCATTTAAACACAAAATCAAAAACTGAAAAAACAAATCATTATCTGTTTTTTCACTTTGGTTTTATCGACAAATAATGAAGAAAACTGTTGTTTTTTCGTTTTCTTATTTTTGATTTTATATTGAAAAACGAATGAACGAATGATACACGGATTGTGTTTCTTGCCTCGGACCAAAATATTTCCCAACATGCAACGCGGGCTTTTAATAACAATGACGTCAGCTGAAACTCGCCTATAGTCCGAAAAATACGGTAATCACATTTTCTTTGTGTTTTGGTCATTTTTAAGCAGCATTTCTGTATTTTAGCTTAATAAATGACAATGTATGCTTCTCTTTACTGTTGGCAGGGATCAGATTGGTCAAAAATATGGACACACTTAGGAGCATTTCTTGTACAAAACTGGGACAAATCAGTGGTTTTGTATAAATCTGCTGGGACAGGGGGACACAGGGCTCAAAACTGGGACTGTCCCGGGTAAATCGGGGCCGTCTGTTCACCCTAAACTATTCTAAACTCTTTACCAAAACACGCCTTACATCACATTTGACTGCGATGACATAATTTATTTAGTCCGGGCCAGAGTTCTAAAAATGTCCTCCGCAGCTGCATCCGAGGCCCCGCTCTCCCGTCACACTTTCTCCCCGCACGTGCTCGTCCCGTCCAGTCCTTCCAAAGATCGCCGCCGGTGGAAGAAGTCTGGAAAAGAACTGTACGGGGGCCAGAGCGCGTGATACTGCCGGGAAAGGTTCCAGTGTGCGCATACAGGAAGGACTCAGTTTGTTTGGTTGACATGGATACGGATTCCCCCTCGCTCTCTCTCCCGCAAAGAAGTTCCCATTAGGGCTGCACGGTTTGGGGAAAATATCTAATATCTAATAAAATCACATTCACAGGGCAAAAATGAACCTTTCCCGCACGGTAAAAAAAGCAAAATGTGAGATATAAACACTTAAATCTGTCAGAAAATGAGTTAAAAATGTTGAAATGATCTGTCCATGCAGCAAGATCATTTTACTTGACGAGTTTTCTTAAAATAAACGAGTTCTAGACGAGAATTATGCATCTCAGAACGAGTAAGTAGAGAATAAATCTGAAAACAACTGAATCAAGACTGAACCAAGGACGAAACCACTGAACCAGGACTAAACCAAGACTAAACCAGGACTTAACCAAGGACTAAACCAAAGACTGAACCAGGACTGAATCAGAACTAAACTAGAACTGTACCAGGACTGAAGCAAGGATTAAACCAGGAATGAACCAGGACTAAACCAGGACTAAACAGGACTAAACAAGGACTGAACCAAAACTGAACCAGGAATAAACCAAGACTAAACCAAGGACTACAGCAGGACTGAACCAGAACTAAACCAGGACTGAACCAGGACTAAACCAAAACTAAACCAGGACTAAACCAAGACTAAACCAGGACTGAACCAGGACTAAACCAGGACTAAACCAGAACTAAACCAGGACTAAACCAAGACTAAACCAGGACTGAACCAGGACTAAACCAGGACTGAACCAGGACTAACAGGACTGAACCAGGACTAAACCAGGACTAAACCAAAGGACTAAACCAAAACTAAACCAGGACTAAACCAAGACTAAACCCGGACTGAACCAGGACTAAACCAAGGACTAAACCAGGACTAAACCAAAACTAAACCAGGACTGAACCAGGACTAAACCAAGACTAAACCAGGACTGAACCAGGACTGAACCAAGGACTAAACCAGGACTGAACCAAGGACTAAACCAGGACTGAACCAGGACTGAACCAAGGACTAAACCAGGGGCTACACAAGGAATGAACTATGACTAAACCAAACCAAGGACTAAAGCCGGACTGAACTATTATTGAACCAGAACTAAATTAGGACTGAACCAGGACTAAACCAAAGACTATAAAAGAACTAAACCAAGGACTAAACAAGGACAAAACCAGGGACTACACCAGGAATAAACCAGGACTAAACTAAACCAAGGACACTTCCGCGTAATTCTGTGACCTCCGGAGGTAAACAGAGCGTTGTTTCCTCTTCTGTGTCGCTGTCGTCAGACTCAGTTCCAGTTAGAATTTTTCCGGCCTTTCTGAATCCCGACAGGATGGTTTCGGTGTCACTGAAGTCCAGACTTTGTCGATTCATCCAGTGACTTCCAGGAAAGTTTCATGGTGCAAACTCCCGGTGTCACAAGTTTCTCTCTCACTGCAAACTTTCTTTCTGCTGCTCGATTACCGTTTTCAGCTGCAGATTTTGCTACTTACAGTTTGTAATCTGAAAAATATGATTTTATTTTGGGGGGGGGGCATTTGTGTTCAGTCTTCTCATTTGTCTTTATAAGGTTGTTTAAATTGGTACAGAAGTAACGGTGCGATCGACATGATACAGACAGGACAGAGGCTCTTTCTGCAGGAGACATGCGCAGTAGAGCCAAGTGACAGCAGATACTGACACGCAAGACTAGAGCCTCTCGTCGCTTCAGTGTGAAAATTTGAATACATAAGTATACATACGCACCGGAGTGTAAGTCGCAGGAAACACCCAAACCATGAAAAAAAGTGCGACTCAAACTCCAGTAGATCAGCGTGTTCCCTTTTATTGTTTGACTTCTTGACTGGCGGAAGACGTCAGAGGTCAGATCCTCAGACGGGGTGAAGACGAGAGACGAAGACGATAGCAGGGCTCACAGGTGCGGGGTCTGTGGGCCGGAGGAGGCTTTAATAGAGCGCGAGTGTGACGGGAGACGTGAGTGAGACACCTGCCTCTCCGCTCAGCCGTCAGAGCCGAGGAAGAACGGCTCTATTCTGAGGAGCCGTGACGTACGGGTCAGGTCAGGAGACGCAGGTTTATGTCTCAAAGCTGCTCCGTGTCGCTTTCCTGTCGGGGGACGGCCACGCGTCTCTGTTCGGGTGTTATTACTTAGGTCTGGAGTGTTTCGTGACATTAAACACACTGTATCTACCTTTTACACTTTTAATAAAGGCGTTTCATTTGCCAAAATCCTCTGAAAAACTTGTGGGCGGGGGTTGTCTCTTTGTAGATCTGACGTGTAGCTTGGCCTGGTGGTGTAGTTTAACCTCCATGGAGCTCGACTGTGATCACCTGCTCCTGTTCTGGATTGAAATTTTCCATTTTTCATTAATTCCCATAGACTTTTTGAAAAATTAAAATATAAGTTGAATCACAGAGGCTAACCAGCTACATTTTTGAAGGCAAACTACGCACTCCTACTATACATTTTTGCCCGATTTTGACTGCGATTTGCTTCTCCCTGAGTTCGGGGAGGCGTGACCCGACTTTGTGTCTTTTTTTTTTTTTAAGCCGCTGCACTCCTCATATGTGTGGTGTCAGTGTCAGATCATAACCACCAAACATCAGCAACGCTACGGTAAAAGCCAATAAAACAGAGTGTCAGGGGTAGACGGAGCGACGGACACCGAAACGCAAGATACAACCTCAGGATACAGCGAAAATAATGAGAAGACTTTATTACTCACCTCTTGTAAAGTGGTCAATTTAACCTACAGCGTCTCATCCACATTATCCATAGAAATTGTCCCGCACAAATAATAAATGACCCCAGTCCACAAAACCGCGCTGTGAATTCAGTTTTGAAACGTTGTTTAAAAGTAAAAAGGCAAGAGTAGTTCCTCGTGTGTGTCTGTTTACATCCTCACAGCGCACGGATCGAGGTGAAGCTGCAGGTTCGCAGTGTCGCGTAAACAAAATGTCTTCCTCTGAACAAGCAACAAAACTGCAGCTCTATAACAAAATCATTTCGTAAAATACACCAAAAAACACTCTTGGTGATATATCGATACAGCAGCCCACGATATCAATACGACACATATCTTGATACTGCGCACTTTCTATTCGATATATTTTAAATTGATTCGATACGGTTCAATAAAAAATAAAAGCTAAATCATGGCTGTGACACTTTTTGAACCACTTCTTGTGCAAAGTGAATATGAAACACATCGATTTTAATCTTCAAAACAGTGAAAATGTCAAATTTGTCGAATAAACAAGTTTCCTTCCTCTAAACAAACACAAAATGAATAGCTCTGTAATACATGAAATAAATTTCTTTAGAATAAAAAAATAAATAAATCAAAAAAATACTCTTGGCGATATATCGATACAGCAGCCCACGATATCGACACTGTATCATCACATTAAACGATACCGATATATCAGTATTTAAGTATTTTTGCACACCCCTATAGCACATGGTGTGTTTTGGTTGTTTGTTTGATTATTTGGTTGATTAAATGAGTTGATTTTCAGTCATATTTAACTGAATAACAAGAACTGGACCCTAATCTTCTGACCCTAACTCTTCGTCTGGTAATTCATTGTAGAGCAGAGCACATTTTTCTCCTCTGACTTTCCTTCACTATATAAAACCGTTCATTCCATACACTGTCCATATTAGGCCCGGTCGTCTGCATCCTCTTTTCTCTCCGCGTTTCCTCTGCGCTATCGGCCCGTCTGCTCCGAAAACCTTCTCCAGACTAATGAATTTTACGAGTCAGGTCCGGCCCAGCTGACGGGGCCTTGGCTTGTCGTCGTGGCTCCCCTCCCATCGGGCCGAGCGGGACCCAGACACACAGGCATTTGGCCCCGGCTCAACATGTCCAGACGTCTTACTCACAGGCCATTGTTTCATATCCCTTCAGTAAGAGGCATGATAATTACGAGGCCGGTGGAGAGTGCCAGGGCCGACAGCTGATTAGACGGAGCGCCGCAGAAGGAGAGACCCGTGGGAGCAGATGCGCACGACAGCGGGGCAGAGGACGGGGCAGAGGACAGCGGGGCAGAGGACAGCGGGGCAGAGGACAGCGGGGCAGAGGTTCAATGAATGGAGTCGAAATATAAAAGGACAAACTTTACACATATTTGAAGTTATGGCCAACACTTGCCACGTTTACATGAAAGCTTTAATTCTGAATAAAAATTAATTCTGCTTTAAAAAGATCATGTAAACAATTAATTCCTAAAGAAAATGATGATTCAGAATTAAACTTAATTCCGAAGTAAGTGGGTGGTTTATTCTGATTTGAAAGCCAATTAAATTCATTTATTCCTCGATCGTGTAAACATTTATTCTTCTTAAAAATAATTCCGGTCGTTCAGCATGTGTTTGTTGAGTCGTCCCTTCTGACTCGATCCCAACGATCCGGCTCCACCAGTTCTGGCTTTGGACTTTCGTCTCTTTGGATTTGCGAGTGGGATGCGGGAGTGGGCTGAGGTAGCGTTTGTTTCTTCTTCTTCCCTTTTCCGACACTCTTCCCTTCTCCTCCTCAGCTGACAGATGTAAAACGTGATGACAGAATTTTCCAGCTGCCGCAGTGAACCACTGCGAAAAAAGTTTGGATCGTGTTTGTGTCCGTGGCGTAACGACAAACTGAGATGACGAAAAAGCCGGTAGCAGCTGAAGTGTGTGTTTTGTTCTGGTCGATGTAAATATGTTCGTGTCTCTGTCCAATCAGAACCCTTCCCCACCCCCAGAAGTTCAGTGGAACTAAATAAAAACGAGTTTTCCATGTAAACCTCAATGCACAGCTGTGTATAAATGTATGTGTGAATGGGTGAGTGGTTTCTTGACGTAAAAACTCTTTTAAGTGTCTTGATAATAATGTGGTAATGTGATGATACAGTATTGATATCGCCGGATAATGTATCGATGTATCACCAAGAGTATATTTATATACTTATAAATATATATTTACATCTAAATTCTTTTGTTACAGTGTTACAGTTTTGTTCAGAGGAAGGAAACTGGTTTATCATCATCATCATCATCATCTTTATTCCGGACTCATGGTCCATTTAAAAAACAGACAAGGACAGTGACAAAACAAAACAATAAACATTCATGTTTTTAAAAGACAACCACACCAGTGTCTCCACATGTTGGACTGATCTCTTATTGCACTGAATCTCAAATTTGTGAGTGACATTATTATTTCGTTGTCTGATTTGTTCAGTCTGCAGATAAAACTGTACATTAAAATTCTTAGTGCAGCTTGCAAAGTGTTCACTCGAGCAGTAACAAACATTTCAGTCGCACTCGTCCATCATTTATGTGACACATTTGCCATTTTCACAGTTTTCATGAGTAAAATGGGTGTTTTTCATATTCATTTTGCACAAGAAGTGCTAAGACTTTTAGTATCACAGCCATGATTTATTATTTTTTTACTGAATCGTATCGAATTGTAAGATCACCGTATCGAGATATGTATCGTATTTCTGAATGATACCCAGCCAAAGTTCTACACATTACAGATAAAACATATCCAGTAGAAATATAAAATAAAGCTCTATTTAACAGTACTTGTCCTCGTTAAGACAATAACACTAGTCAAATCAAATAAGAGCAAGAATACCAACCAAAAATAAAAAAGGTAAAAAAAAAAAAATAAAATAAGACACAGAGGAACACACAACTCACACGATTTTTAAAAGCCAGAGAGTAAAAGTGTTTTTTAAGACGAGACTTAAAACTTAAAACTTTCCAGAGTTTAGGCCCGGTCACAGAAAAGGCCCTGTCCCATCTGGTTTGAAGTCTCGTCTTAGGCACCACGAGCTGGAACTGGACCTCAGAGCGCACAGTGGAAGAAAATCTGGATGAGAACTGAGATGTAACGTGGGGCCAGTCCCTTTAAAGCTTTAAAAACCAACAATAAAATCTTAACATCAATTCTAAAACGAACCCATCTACTCCTCTTGTGTGTTTGTATTTTGTATTTGACCTGTCTAAACACTTCTTTGACTCCAGCTCCAAGCCTGTTAACGTGGCTCAGCTTTGTTTGCAAACAGACTCTGCTAAACCTGCACGTTCTGCCTTTAATCCCGATCCAGCACAAATTGGATCAGTCTGTGTCCGTCTCACAAACCACACGGGCAATGCTGAAATCTAAAACAGTAGCTAAACGTTCTTCTCCGTGTTCTCGTTCCTCCGCAGATACATTGGGAAGTCGGACTCCATCACGATCAGCGTCTGGAACCATAAGAAGATCCATAAAAAGCAGGGGGCGGGGTTTCTGGGCTGCGTGCGCCTTCTGTCCAACGCCATCAACCGCCTTAAAGACACCGGCTGTGAGTATAAGCCATCTGCACATTCATTCGTGCGTTTTATGTCTCATAAAAAGAATGAAAATGCATTACTTTTCATTATATACAGAAGCACAAGTCTTTAAAGGTGCTGTGTCCATCCAGAAATTCAAAGATCCAGAGTTAGGACTGAGGTTTGTCTTGGTCTTTGGTCCGATTCCAGACTCTTCTGAATTCGAATTGGCTCCTCATGCAATATTGTCCAGACCAGACATGTCAAACTCAGGCCCGGGGGTCAAATTTGGCCCACGATACAATTATATCTGGCCCGTGAGATCATATCCAATATGTATTAGAGCTCGCCCGTCGGCTACAGATAGACTATAGAGACATCATTTATTTAAAATGTTGTTATTATTTTATATTATACTTGTTCTGGATTCAATGTTTAAGCAAAACTATTATAAAAAAAAATATTTTAATAAGAAGGCTTAACATTACATATCTTGAAAGAAGAGAAAACATGCAGATGTTGTTGAAATTTTTCAATAAATATTTAGTTTGGCCCATGACTTGGTCCCAGTTTTTAATTTTGGCCCTCTGTGAATTTGAGTTTGACACCCCTGGTCCAGACGATGAGCTTAAAAATGTAAAACTCTGAATTTATAACGTTACAGTATTCACTATTAAAGGTACAGTATGTAGGGTTCTGGAGGTGGTACGTCTCCTGCAGGATTCCATGGAAACAGAAAGTTAAAACCATATTTCTGAACATTCTCCATGGAGATAAATACGTTTAATATCATACTGTGGAAGATTATAGCCAAAGGAACAACATTTCCATGGAAACAGGCCAAATAAGAGTCAGATTTGTGGAGAAGCAAGCCTGCTCTGTGTAAGGAAGCTCCTTTTTAACTAATAAACTAGTGCTGTCAATCGATTAAAATATTTGATCACGATTAATCTCATGAATGTCATAGTTAATTTGAGATTAATCACAAATTAATCTCACATTTTTGTCTGTGGGATAATAATTTTAATACTTTTATCAACAGAAAAGTGGATAGTCTTGGTTTGTGGAAACTGTGTTTGCGACCGTGTTTGTCGTCCCAACGTTGCTGCACTGAGGGCGATGACGTCATCACACGGCGCTGTTTGTTTACATGTCTTGTGTGGATCGATGAAAATAACTGGATAGGGTGTTGCTGCTTGTAGATGCCTCCAGTTGATGTAGTGGTCACTCACTGGTACTACAGCGGAAAAATCCACAGAGCTGAGAAGGGATTTTTCTCTTGGAGTGCAATGTAATCACAAACTGTTCATGTTCGGCTGACGGGGCACCTACAACTTTCAAAAATGTTGGATTTTGTGGCAATTTTTACCTATTTTTAGATCATAAACTTTATCTTAACTCAAAATTCTCCAGTCGTCTTAAAAAACGCTTTATAATCGTTAGCTCCTGTGCATGTTCAATCGGCCTGGAGCCACCAGAAGTACCTCGCCGGGCTAAAGGCGAATCTGGAGTCTTGCGCCACTGAGCTCAGCCCGTTGACTTGAATTGGCGGACATTTTTAGACCCCTGGACTTGTCTTATACTTGTTCTGATACAGCTCAAGATCATTCTAAAACTATTCAGGAAAGGTGGATTTCTGTCCTGTGAATGTGACTTTTTTAGTATCAGTACCTGCTCGAATGATTTTCTAGTTTTGAAACCAGTTTTAGTATCGAGTAGTGTCTGATTTTCGATACTTTTGACAACTCTAACCTTCACCAACTTGCGTTTACATTGTATTTTGTATTTCACTCCTCATTCCCTTTTCATTTAATAAACGTAAAGATGTGCTTTGTTACTTTTCTGGTGATCTTATTGCTTTTCCTGGATTGTTACACAGTATGGCATTAAATATATCCATCTTGAACTTATTCGAGTACAAAATATACGCACATGTTTACGAACCACAAAGCCACTGCCACAACTAATGCCTATATTAAGACGTAACCTAAAATCATACATTAAATTCTTGTCTTTTCAAACCACTAAATGCGATTTTTACTGTTTTAAATCCGATTTAATTGTAAATTGTTTGCAGCAGTCCAGGTTTTGTTATTCCTCACTTTCCAAACGCATTCCTCGCATCCAAATTGTTCACAGTGATGAGTTTTGTAAGCACGTTTCTCAACTTTCAGAGGCCCAAACCTTTTTTAATCCTGAGCACCCTCTATGATTTGTCCCCTAACCCGAGTACCAGACAAATAAATATGTTTACTAGCGGTATATTGTCTGTTTTTCTTGTTATACTAACGACACCGACATCTAGACTCCTCGGAAATCAGTCTTAAACCTGTAAAATTGGCTACAAAGAAATGTTTTTGTCCAAATACCACATGAAACCTTTCCAAGTACCCCCTGCTAAGTGCTTGCAGACCTTGGAAATCAGATTAATACAAACAGCAGCATGTTAACAACTTCATTTCCTGGTTCGCAAACTAAAAAAATGCTTTAGAATTAGAATTAATTATTAATTAATTATTAGTGGGTTTCAGATTTACGTTGTACTTTTCCATGAAGTATCGTAAAGGTAAATTCCCAAATATGGAACCTGATTATTTTTATTAGTGGCGAGACCCAAGACTACGGAAGCCGAGAGGGGTCGCAACAAACGCAAACGCCGCAGCAAATACAAATGCGACAACACAACAAAAAGCCACAACACACCAAAAAAAAAAAGCCACAACGGAAATGACCGCGGGACTCTATTTTTATGCAAACGCCGCAACAAATACAAACGCCACAACACAAACGCAAATGCCACAACGGAAGTGACGGCGGGACTCTATTTTCCGACGGACTGATCAAGCGGCAAGTGAAGAAGAAGAACTACGCCTTATAATCCAGAGCGCCTAATAGTGCGAAAAATACAGTATACTCCGATAATGACACGGCGTAGAGTTTCTTGTTCTGTTGTTTGTAGCTCTCGGCCCCAGTTCCCGGGTCTTTCTCTTTCTTCTCCTTCTTCCAGATAATAACGTCACTTTGTCACTGGATAGTCGTTCCTGATTGGTTGATGCGGCGCGTCTGACACTGAAAGTTCAGCATTTTTAACGTCGACGCCCTGGACGTTGGCACCTGAACGCTCAAAGACGTGCCAGATTTGCACCGCAAAAACACAGAATAGACATACACATAGACTTTGCATATAAACTGGACGCCTTGACGCCCCAGTCTGAACGCAGCATTACAGAGAAAGATGAATTTAACTTCGATGTAAAAAATCGGTTACAGCCCGACCAACAAGAGCCTAAGAATCGTCTTGATCCTAAAACGCTCCTAAAACGCGCTTTTTTATGGTGGCACTTTTGGTTAAAAGGGGATCCCATTCATGTCACTGGAGAATTTTGGGGAAAAAATATGCTGGTTTAGTCCTGGTTTAGTCCTGGTTTAGACCTCGTTTAGTCCTGGTTTAGTCCTGACATAGTCCTGGTTTTTGGCTTGGCAGCTGCGACTTTTCTTGTTCTAGTGTTTGTGGCTCTCGGCCCCAGTTCCCGGGTCTTTCTCTTTCTTCTCTTTCTTCCAGATAATAATGTCGCTACGTCACTGGATAGTCGTTCCTGATTGGTTGATGTGGCGCGTCCGATGCTGAATGTTTCATTTTCAACGCCGTTGCCGTGGACTCCGGAACGTTGACGCCTAAATGCTCAAGACACGCCTCATCAATGCCAGATTCGCGCCGCAAAAACACAGGCCACAGTAGACGCGCGTCCACATAGACTTTGCATATGAACTGGACACTTTGATGCCCCAGTCTGAGCGCAGCATTACAGACAAAGATGAATTAAACTTCGATGTAAAAAATCGGTTACAGCCCGACAAACAAGAGCCTAAGAATCTTGTTGATCCTATTGCCCTTTTGTCTCTAAACGCTCTTAAAACGCGCTTCCAGTTAAACGGGGATCCCATTCGTGTCAATGGAGAATTTGGGGAAAAATTAAGCAGAAATATGCAGAGATAAAGTTGGTTCATTTGTGTAAAACGTTCAATATTTATGTGACCAACAAGCAGTGTTGGGGGGTAACAGATTACATGCACCGGCGTTATGTAATCAGAGTACATATTATGAGTAACTGTATTCGGTTACAGTTACTGTTTCAGTGAGTAGTAATTGGATTACAGTTACTTTGTTGAAATAAATGGATTACACAGAGGTATTTTCCTGTTTCCACATTTTGGGCAATATCCCTTTTTTTTCCACTCATTGCCGGACACTAAATCAGGTCTAAAACCAGGTCTAAACCAGGTCTAAACCAGGTCTAAACCAGGTCTAAAACCAGGTCTAAACCAGGTCTAAAACTAGGTCTAAACCAGGTCTAAAACTAGGTCTAAACCAGGTCTAAAACCAAGTCTAAAACCAGGTCTAAACCAGGTCTAAACCAGGACTAAATCAGGACTAAACCAGGACTAAACTAGAAGTAAAACCAGGTCTAAACTAGAAAAGCACTCAGAGAGCGCAGACCTCCGCCAAGGACTACCCCCATTTTTTATATAAATTGCGATAAAATCAGTCTTCTGGATCAGATCCGGATCAGCCTTTGGAATATGAAAGAGGATCCCATTGTCCATCCCTGAGTCAAATTTCATGGGGTTTGGTCAATAATTAACCGAGATATTGAGAAACAAAATTTTTGGCCCCATTTACCACAATGTTAACTAAAATTTCAAAGTGATCCAGAATCCAGGATTTCTTCCGGATCACCCCCAAAATGAAATCAGTTCTTCCTTTTCACATTTCCAACAAATCCTGAAAATTTCATTAAAATCGGTCCATAACTTTTTGAGTTATGTTGCTAACAGACAAACAAACAAACAAATAAACAAACACACAAACGCCGGCAAAAACATAATCTCCTTGGTGGAGGTAATTATGTGTCAAAAACAGGATTTAACAGGACTAAATCATGCTGTCTTCTATCAATAATATTTTTAATTTGGTCCGATAAAGTCTGGGCTTTTTATTTTCTTTTATCAGACAAAACATCTTATGTAATCA